GGGGGGTATCACTTTCAGAGTTAATAACACACATACACACGCACACACTCACACACTGTCAGTCATTTTGAAACCGTGTGGTACCAGTCAGTGTGAGAGAGCTATAACTGTCACAGCTGATAGAACGCCCCTCCTCTAACAGCAGTGGTTAGCCCACCGTGTGTTTGCGACAGGAACACCATCATCACCAAACATCTCTCCATCCGCCGTGTTCACACACCACCGCCGACTCGTTCTCACGAAGTCCCACACAGCTGGTCCCAGTTGACCCTTTTTTATTTTTTTTTTCCCTCCCTCTTCTCACATTGTTTCTCATTCATCCTGTTTGTTGTTAAGAGATGTTCTTATTCGTGTTTCTGTCTGCAAGTAAATATGCAGCCGTGTCAGATATAGTTTGAAGTCAACAACAGAACTCTGGGTAAAAAGATTAACAATACATTCTGTGCCACAACAGCAAAATATGTGAAGCTTGGGCGAATGAGACGCCAAATAATACAACACAACAGAAACCACACCATGCTAACATTTTGGTACAACTTTATTCAAACCTGACGACAGCAAACTACCTGACCCAGTCTGAAATGTTCCCTCGGTTTAGTTTGAAAGATTTTTTAAAGGTTAGAGTAACAGAGCAATGAGGAAGTGGCTCACCTCTTGTACTTCTCCCAGAGGAACGGGTTCTGCACACGCTGGATCTTGAGGATCCTAAACTTGGTCTCCGACACCGTCTTGTGGAAAAGGCTGTACACCGTCCGGTAGCTGCGGTCTTCACGTGACACCGGCACCTGCAGGAAGTCCTGGCTCATAGTCATGGGCAACCATGTTTCTGGGAAAAGGCTGGGTGGGTTGGTGGTGGTCGGCGAGAGGGGATGCGACAGAGTGAGATCCATGGACAAGGAGGAGGAGGAGGAACAGGGGAGGGGGGATGAAGAGAGGCCGCTCAAAGTCCTAGAGAGAAAGAGAGAGAGATAGAAAAAATTGAGTGTGACAATTGTTGAGTACACTTCCAATTAATTAATACAAATTACTTTTGCTAGCATTGCAAACTGGAGTCAAGAAGTTTTAAGTCAGTGCTCAACATGTCAACCTCACATGCAAAAATGTGAAATCTGATAACTAACAATGATACACGTCAACAAACATGTAGAATATTATAGCATGATTGGTTTAAATGGAGGGATCGTTTCCAGCTAATTTACAGACGAAATTCTACTGGAAATCAACAACCTCTTATAAACACAACACAACTCTCAGATAACTGTTTTCTCTACAATTAGCACAGCATTACACTACCTATAATAAACGTACTTTTGTTCCCCAACATGAACGTTGTCATTAGCTTAATCGTTATTGTACTTTAGCTACAGTAGCACTGACTTAAAATAATTCTCAAAAGATGAATAAATAATAAATGAAAATGGTGATTACATACAGTCTAATAAATAAATAGAATTTTAAAAAAATATATGTTTGTACTATATAACCCACTTCCTCTTATAGGTCTTCACATATAGCACAACATGCTTAAACCAGAGCCGCAACAGACAACTGAAGCAGCATCTGTAGTGATGAGACGTGGAGCACACTTCTAGAACAGTTTCGACATTATGAATGGTAAAAGAGTTAACTTTGTTAGCTGCCGCAGCTTATAACAACGCTCCTGCTATAAACTACAGCCCAGCCTGCTACCTATTGCTACTCCTTCCCACAGCTTCCTTTCCCATGTGTTTCCGATCGAAGCTGCATCCTAACGTAAAAAAGGAACCGCTGCGATGAACCCACACGCCTTCCAAAATCCTATTCCACCAACTGTCAACAATGACATCACTGTGCTGCTGAGCGGAGGAGCTCCACAGCAGCCGTCAGCCGCCACCGACCAAACAAAACCAGCAGGGCAGCGCAAAAATGAAACCCAGACACTAAACAAGACAACGGGGAGGCAGAGTGAGGGACTGACAGGAACGAGACCAAAAGAGAGGGAAGAATATAAAATAAAAAGCCAATTGCAGAGCTGTCATGAAGGCGACAAAAAAAGCTATTGTGTCTGGCATTTCAGTCAATAACAGTGGTTTGGCTGTCAAGTTATTGCTCTCTAAGTGTAAATGCTGTTAGCCCTATCAGCCATAAGAGAGTGTGTGTGTGAGTGTGTGTGTGTCGTCAAGAGACTGTAATCAGTGCGACTCCGGAGTCAAGGCGACAGCTTTTCTCATTTATTTTTCTCGCTCTCTTTCTCTCTTATCATGCCCGTCCGGCCTCGATCTCTCCCCGCAATCGATGTCTCTCTATTCCCCCATGTGAGCTTTGAGGAGATCACAGCACAGCCTGCTGCCGTAAACAAGTGTGAAATGAAAAAGGGACATACAACAAAAGAGGGATGGGAGTTGAGGAGAGAGAAGAAAAGAAAGAAAAGGAGAAAGACTAGGACTGATAATGGGGGAGGGAAAGATGGCTGAAAATAACATCATCCGGAGAGAGGGATGACAGAAGGAGAGGAAGAGAGGACGGGAGGGAGGGAGCAAGGGAGAGTGCCAATCAAGCCAATGACCTCAACTTCTAAGCCTAGCACAGATTGTTCCTGACACACACTTGTTTTTGGTCACTTGGAAGGACACTGCATTGACCTGCAGTCACCTGGAACACTAAATGTAATGCTAAGATTTTAACAATTCGCCTGCTTTTGTGTGTGATCACATTTTTGTCTCGCAGCG